ATTATTATTAGTAGTATTATTAGTAATATTATTATTATTACTATTATTATTGTTAGTATTATTATTAACAGTATTCGTATTATTCTTCGTATTATTATTCTTATTCGTCTTATTATTCTTATTATTATTATTACTAATATTATTATTCATATTATTATTCTTCTTGCTCGTATTATTCTTATTATTAGTAGTAGTATTATTATTATTATTAGTAGTAGTAGTAGTAGTAGTAGTAGTATTATCATTAATAGTATTATTATTATCAGTATTAGTATTATCATTGTTATTATTATTATTATTAATATTATTATTCGTCTTATTAATATTATTATTATTAGTATTGTTATTATTATTATTAGTACTATTACTAGTATTATTATTGTTAGTATTATTATTATGAGTATTATTATTATTAGTATTATTATTATTAGTAGTATTATTATTAGTATTATTATTAGTATTATTATTAGTAATATTATTATTGTTATTATTATTATTAATATTATTATTATTGTTATTACTATTATTAATAATAATAGTATTAGTATTATTATTTTTAATATGATTATTAGTATTATTAATGTCACTATGAATATTATTATTAGTATTATTAATATTATGATCATTATTATCATTATTATTAGTAGTATTATTAGTAATATTATTATTATTACTATTATTATTGTTAGTATTATTATTAACAGTATTCGTATTATTCTTCTTATTATTATTCTTATTCGTCTTATTATTCTTATTATTATTACTAATATTATTATTCATATTATTATTCTTCTTGTTCTTATTATTCTTATTATTAGTAGTATTATTATTATTATTATTCTTATTATTCTTATTATTAGTATTCTTATTATTATTATTATTATTATTGTTATGCTTCTTCTTATTCTTATGTTTCTTCTTATTATTATTATTCTGCTTATTATTAGTCTTCTTATTCTTCTTATTAGTATTACTCTTACTATTATTATTGTTAGTATTATTATTATTGTTATTCTTAGTATTATTCTTATTATTATTCTTATTATTATTCTTCTTATTATTATTATTCCTCCTCCTCCTCCTCCTCCTCCTCCTCCTCCTCCTCCTCCTCCGCTTTCCTCCAGTTCCGTCGAGCCCCTCCCTCCCCCCACGTCCCCCTCCCCCCCTCCCCCCCTCCCTCCCTCCCCCCCTCCCGCTGCGGAAGGTCCGCCGGCGCACTTTGATCGGGAGCCGGCGCAATCCCCCAACCACCGGAACGGTGCACCGCTCAGCGGCGGCCGCCCCCAGGGAAGAGGGGGTGCGCAAGCCAGGGCCTATAGAGCGGCACACAAGGGAGGCCGTGGACCACCTCCAGCCCATCGTAGGTCTCGGTCGTGGGCCGCCGCCGTCAGGAGAGGCACCAGGGGCGTCTGGCGGCCCGCGGGCGCGGGGCGCCCCCGCTCGAGCGCGGGATGGCCGAGTTGGGCCGGGAGTCGGCCAACTCCCGCGCGGGCGGCGCGCCTCCCCTCAGGGCGGCCGAGGCCGCGCGGGGGCCCGCGGGCGCGGCGGCGGACGCGCCGCGCGGGGCGCCGCGGAGGCTGTCGAGCCCACCGCCGCTCGGGGCTGGCGGCCCCCAGCGCTGCTGCGGTGCCCCCAGGGTGGCGCCGCCCTCCGAGGTCCGAGCCGCCCTCGGTGGCGCCGCGCCCCCAAGCGCCAGTCAGCCCCCGCCTCCTCACCAAGCCGCCCCAGCGCGGAGCACCGTCTGCGCCTGGTCGCGCTGGAGTGCCATGGCGACGCGCCGGCAGGCGCGGCGCATCGCCACGGCACGCTGGTCTGGTGGGAGGCCGCTGTGGAGCGCGCGCAGGAGGGCTACGCCGGCGGGCCCCATCCTCCCACCGGACTCGAGCGCCAGCGGCACCAGCTCAGGGTGGGGGTAGCGACGGCGCTTCTTGCGCTCGAGCGCGGCCGCCAACCTGCCACCCCGGTCTGCCGCCGCGCGGGCGTCGGAGCCGCGACCCAGCGGGTGGCCGACCGTCACGTCGGCGTGTCTAGTGCGGCCCCAGGCAAGGCGAAACTGATGTCCAGCCGTGCCTCGACCCCGTCCTGCGCCCACTCTGGCACTACCTGCTCCTCCAGCGGCGCCGCGCCGAGCGCGTCCTCCAGGACGCTGCTGAAAGCCCGCAGCACTCGCGTGTGCCTCCGCGTGTGCGAAGGCCCCCGCGGGCAGCAGAGGGCATGGATTGCCTGGTTGTTGTGCTGCGCCGCGGCGTCCGGCACCCCGGCCCTCGCGCAGGCGCCGCACGTGGCAGGCATGTTCAGCGACAGGCCGAGGCGAACGTGAAAAGCAGCGGCGAACTCGTCGTCCAGCATCCATTCCTCATCCTCGTCGGCCGGCAGCATCCAGGTACCCGCTCCAGGGCCTCCGCCTGAGCGGAGGAGCGCCCCGTCTTCGCGCGGGAGCTCCCCAAGCAGTGCGTCCTTCTCCAGCTCGGCCAGGGCACGCCCAAGGCGACTCTGCAGGTGGGCCTGGGACTGTGTCAGTCCGAGGCGCACGTCGTCCTGCACAGCCAGCCCTGCTCGCTCCAGCGTCGCCGTCGCCGCGTCCACTCTGGCCGCCAGCCGCGGTGCCCTTGCTCCGAGCTCCTCCAACGCGCTCGCATTGACGGCCTTCGCCACGGCTGGGAGCGCGTCCACAGCGCTAGCAAGGAGCGCCGCCGGCGCGGTCCGCTTAGCGTCGGGAAGCCCCAAGCCGCCCTCACGCAACGGTAAGCGTGACCAGCGAAGGCGGGAGGGGTCCAGAGGAGCAGAGCGGCCCAGGGCGGCTGCCGCGGCGGCCACTGGGGCGTCCAGCTGTGTCAGGGTTTGCTCTGCGGCCGGCACCGTGCGCATGTGGAAGTTCACATATGCCGGCACGACCGTGCGGAGGAGGCAGAAGGCCTGGTGCCTGCCCAGCCCTGCCAGCGCCAGTTGCTGTAGGCGGTCGCAGGCGCGTCGGCGCCGATCCAGTAGCCTCTGCCACACCTGGTCCGCCGCCTCCATCATGCCCGGGGCGCCCACGTCGAGGGGCACGCGGAAGACCTCTGGCTGCCGGACCCGGGCCACCGGGAGCCGCGCCCGCGTGAGCGGCGTCTCGAACGCTGGCTCAGGCGCACCCTCCTCCCTCCTCCCTCCTCCCTCCTCCCTCCTCCCTCCATCCCTCCCTCCCTCCCTCCCTCCGCCCTCCCTCCCTCCCTTCCTCCCTCCCTCCCTCCTCCTCCTCCTCCTCCTCCTCCACCTCCTCCTCCATTTAGGCCGACGACTGGGTGCTCAGAGCACGCGCGCAGCACCGCCCAGGGAGGCGGTGCTTCGGGCCCGCCGGGCGCGGGCCACGGGCGGCCCGCCTGCGCATCTTTCACCGCTCGCTCTGCCTCGGCCTCCGCGCGCTTGGAGTCCTCGTACCTGCCCAGGCCCGGGGGGTGCAGAGGCGGCAGCAGCAGGCAGGGCTGGAGCCAAGCATAAGGTCGGGCATGTCCCCCTACAGGCGGATTTTGGAAGGATATCACAAAATAGTGAAAGAATCGCCGGCCCAACGGGCCAGAGGCGTGCTAAGATCTTCGGTAACTGGTTAACAATATTCCTAGTTCGCGCGCGCGGAGCGGCCCCTGGGGCCCCCGGGACGAAAAGTACCCTGGCCAGGTCCCGGTCAGGTCCTGGTCAGGTCCCCAGAGCGCTCCAAAGGAGGGCCATTTTTCGACACCCCTCACGAGGATCGTGGCCTCCGAGGGGGGAGCCGCAATCGACTACCCCCCCCTCCCGCCCCAAGAGGCCCCCAAGAGCCCCCCAAGAGGCCCTGGACGCCCCCAAGACGCCGCCAAGGAGCCCCAAGAGACTCCCAAGAGGTCCCCATGAGGCCCCCAAGAGGCCCTAAAGAGGGCTCCAGGGCCGGCGGAATGAGCGAAGCGATTCTAATCGTAAAATCGTCCCCAGACGATCTTTCTACTATTTTGTGAATAATCCTCCTGTAGATGTAATTGCCCGACTTAATCTAAGCAGTGTTTTCAGTGTTCGCTCAAGACGAGAGCAAGACGGAGTCGGGCTTCGAGATCGCCGAAACGCAGTTAAGCTCGAGCCCTGGCAGGAGGAGGCCTGCAAGGGGACGCGCGAGCGAGAGAGAGAGAGAGAGAGACACGCCGTGCACGTCAGAGGTGCACGAGCAGAAAGACTGGCGCCAACGCGGCCGCTGCCGAGCGCCGTGAGGCAATGCTTGCATCAAGGCGAGAAGACGGGGAAGAGGGGAGAGGAGTCGGAGGACGACGAGACGAGACGAGACGACGACGACGTTGACGACGTTGACGACGACGACGACGACGACGACGACGACGACGACGACGACGACGACGACGACGACGACGGCGAGATAAAAACAGAGAGAGAGAAAGACAAAGAGGGGAAAGAGGCAGTCGATGGCTTAGGTGGTCCCATTACGGCCTAAGAGAATACCCGTAGTCCTCCAGCAGGGCCAAAAACGTTCCCCGGAACGGCCTCAGACGGCCCCAGCACGACCCCAGTAAAGCGTCCACACTGGCAACTTAATGTTTGAATGTCGTCGCCACCGAAATTGCCCCCCCTCGCAGACCTCCCATACGCCTCGTCCTTCCTCCTCCTCATCCTCCTCCTCTACCCGCCCCACTTCCTCTCCTGTAACAACCATCAGCCTCTCCTTTCTTCTTCTCTTCATCATTATCCTCCTCCGCCCAATCCTTTTATTCACGCCGGCTAGACGTTAGGAGTTCGGACACCCGAAGCCAGTTTCGGGCTCCCTGACCATTTTAAAACAACAGCAACAACAACAATAACAATAACAACAACAACAACAACAACAACAACAACAACAACAACAACAGCAGCAACAAGAACAACAATAATCATGTTAAGACTGTTCGCTCTTATATGCTCGACTGCCCAATAACGCGTATTTCCCAAACCCTCGATACCCGCCCTCTTCGTCTTCGATCGAACCCCTTTTGGGGGATATACCTTTCTTCCCTGCAGGCCGGGCCCCGGCAAGCGGCAGGGCGGCCGCGGACCGTCGGCCTGGCCAGCGGCAGCGCTGATCGGCGGGGCGGCCGCGGACCGTCGACCCGACCCCAAGAGGGACGGACAGGGGACCGACCACGACGACGATGACGACGACGACGACGACGACGACGACGACGACGACGTCGAAGACGACGGCGACGACGACGACGACGGCGACGACAGCAGGCCACGAAGG